TTACTAGCCTGCGTCACAGACGCTCGTGGGCGGAAATGGGGGCGCTAATGGCATAGGTACCGGTTAAAGTACAGCTGTTATGGCATTTGTACTGTACAGTGGGAGATTGTCTAATAGATGGTACAGCCGCATGGCACAGGTACCTAATTGGAGTACAGCTGTTATGGCGCTTGTACTGCGCAATGGGAGATTGTGCAGTAGATGGTACAGACGCATGGCACAGGTACCTATTTGGAGTGCAGCTATTATGGCGTTTGTACTGTGCAATGGTAGATTGAAGACTTAATATTTGCACCAACCCATCTCTCAATATCACTGTCCAAGAGAAAGAATGATCAGTTCCGAGTTCTAAGGATCGCAAGTTCTCATTGCTCGGTCAGACGATAGCCCCTGCCCAGTAGGGGTGGTCGAAAATTTTCTGGCACAAGGGGGGCATGATTCGAAGACCATGCTTTGGAGACAAATCCAGCAGACAAAGAGTGGATGCAAACTCCGCAGGGAGCGATGTCATACAGTAGGGCTAACCAGTTGTTCAAAAACGAGTTAAGGACGGAAGGTCTCGACCCAAAGTGTTATGGGCTGCATAGTCTACGTTCTGGTGGTGCATCGACAGCAGCGGCAATGTATATTCCTGATAGACTGCTTCAGAGACAAGGGGGTTGGCACAGTGCCAGGGCAAAGAACAATTATATTGATGAGTCTGTTAACTCTTTATTGCTTGTTACTAAGTCTATGCAGAGTGCATGACATTACTAGCTCTATCGTTATCAGTTGCAGCGGACGGCTGCAGCAGCTCCCAGCAGTGTGTGAGAAGTGTTATTTTCTGCTGGCTGAGGTACGAAAGAAGCAGAAAATGTTTTCTCACACAAGGCTGGGAGCCCGATTGTGAATCGGGTGTGTTCGGGTGGTGCAGGTTAAGACAGCACATGTTGTTGTTGCTTCCGCAACGCTTGACATAAATCCCCACCCGCCCGCCCGTTAATTATAGTCAGTTAGTTTGTTAGATGCAGTGGACGTTTATATAACTTATTAGTAATTATAACTCCTCAGTAATTTTTATGTAAATAACGTAATTATGTTGCAGAGCTATGTATGATTAGCTGTGTTAGCTGTTATTGTGTAAATAAAAGTCAAGCTTGCGGCGGACGGCTGCAGCAGCTCCCTGTACCTATGCCATGCTACACCTGTGTTTAGCACTTATCACATTACACACAGACTATGTCGTAGTCTAACATCTTACACAATATCTTAATTAATTAACTGATGGCTTACACATTTTAAACTGGCATCTCACGATTTACGAATTGTCTTAATAGCTTACAATGGCCCTTCAATTTTGGCTGACAACTGATATAAATTAATTCGACAGTTGCGCGATCCAAGCTTTCAATTAACCACAGTATCGGTAGGTGTTAATTGCGCATTTACGTAAAGTTTCACCCAATATTGATCCAAGAAGACACAATAGATATAAACACCAACAAGCCAACCACTTATGCATGCATTGTATTTTCAGAAACGCCACAATATTCAGTGGGTCTTCATGAAAGGCTGACAGCCTAAAAGCTGTCAAAATTTAAATTGGTAGCAATAAAATTAAGGACATGAATATGTCAGAGGTGTATGCGAGGTATAGTTTAGCCGAGTCATTTAGATTAGTCTTTATCAGGTTGCGCATACACCCGCAAAAGTCTTCACATTCGCAATAAAAACTGTCAGAGATCTCTCGACTATGCTTGACTGTTTTTAACTACACTAACTTGAACTACACTAACTTTTAACTTGAAATCTAGAGTCTCGATCTGAAAAGGCATTTCCTCTGTCCTGGGGAAGATTTCAAATGACTACCTCAACTATTGTACTTGATCCTAACCACCCACAAGAACTGTATCCAGCCATATGACCGCTGTCAAACACCAACTCGTCTGTACTTATATAGGCTGTTGGCGAGTGTTGGGTTGTATCGAATTTTTAAATTACCCGCTACGACTCGATGGAGCACTTTTTCAAGATGTCTATTCACCTGAGGTTTTGAAGTATATTAGTTTCATATTTAAATTCACGTTTGGTTTCAATTGAGATACAGTCGAACCTCTATTAAGCGGCCCTCCATTAAGCGGCCACCCTCTATTAAACGGCCACATATCGAAGTCCCGAAATTTTTGTAATACAAATACTATAAACTATCCCTCTATTAAACGGCCACCTCTATTAAGCGGCCGCGGCCACCCAAAGAGCGGTCCCAAATTTACCTCTAAGCGGCCAGCCTGCAGGATTTACTTGGCACAACACCTTGACAAGAGAGCAGAAAATAAAAGTCGAGCTAATTTCCTTTATTTGTAAAATAAGGCTTAAAAATTATGTTTTAACACATGCCACTTTACAACTCAAAAGCTTTACGCCTCAAAATCATTGACTACGCCCAGGGTCTATTATTTGCGTAACTCTATTTAACGGCCACCTCTATTAAGCGGCCACAAAGCCGATTCCCGAGGGTGGTCGCTTAATAGAGGTTCGACTGTAAGTCAATTCGATAAATCCAAACGGCTCAATTTTTGCCGAATAAATGCAACGCTACTTCCTGTATGTCAGCTGGAAGCTTTTTACTTGGTCCAATATCGTGAAACGCCTATATCATGGGAACATAATTGGAACCAATAAATAATTTTCTGACATTTCAATGAACGCTAAATGGGCTATACGACGCTTCTAAGTGCGAGTGGGTTTCATTTAAGTGTTTTCGATACTAAAATTAGATAACAGCAACTTTAGTACACGATTTGGTTAACTTTAAAAGGAGAAATCGCAGTCGTTTCTGTACAAAGTTAAAACAGCAAAGCTCTACGAATAGCCAAGAGCACTTTTGTGAAGAGGTTCTGTTGGAAAATCAGAGGTAACTTTACCGTTAAGATATCATTAACTTTATTCATATTGGATATAGCTCTATCATTTCTAAAGTGTTCTTCCTAGAGGTCCAGTAAGAGTCATCTCTTATTGATCCCGTGTCACTACAGGAGGAAACCTAAACTGAACTAACTTTATTTATACTGGATAGCTCTATCAGTTCTAAATTATTCTTCCTAGAGGTCCAGTAAGGATCATCTCTTATTGATCCAGTGTTATTACAGGAGGAAACCTAAACTAAACTAACTTTATTTATACTGGATAGTTCTATCAGTTCTAAACTGTTCTTCCTAGAGGTCCAGTAAGGATCATCTCTTATTGATCATGTGTTACTACAGGAGGAAACCTAAACTTTATTTATACTAGACAGCTCTACCATGTAGTTCTAAACTGCTCTCCCTAGAGGTCCAGTAAGGATCATCTCTTATTGTTGTTCTTGCGAGGAATTAAAGAAGAATTAAATAATTGTAAAAGGGATGTAAATACTCTTTGATTGCATTAGTTAATTAGATTTATCATATAATCATATAATTAACGCAATTAGGTCATAAGATTAAACGCCTCGCGAATTATTTTGCGTTTGAACACACACAACTTGATTCGTGGATAAAAACTGATTTTGGAAAACTGTTATCTGAATCCACAACTACTTTTTTTAAAGGTGATGATTTTTTGTCGAGGAAGGATTCGAATCCACCCGCGAGCCTATATATTGCATTTTTCGCAGCTGTTCCTGATTAGCATCAATTTGAATTGAATTTAAAATCCGACTTAACATATACAAGACGTCTGTTATATGTTTTCAATGTCGCCTATTTGCGATCAAAAGTGTTCAAAACCTAAATCTTTTTCGCGTTTCTCTCAAAATGACTTTGTTTTAGCTTTAATCTGTATATCTGGCGGTTGCGAAACACAAAATAATAGTTAAATATTGTCAATTTCAATACAATTATCATTCACGCTGTAAAATTGACGCCATATTTATACAGCAATATAAGCAAAACTTACTGAACTTCAGACATCATTTTCTCTTTGGCGTACCATCTAAAATCTCTTCATTTTAGCATAATTTTACAGATAAAGCACTAAACATACTTCTAAAGTTTGTTTGCCGCTTGAGAAACGTCTCAAAAATTTAAAAAATTGAATATAGTTATAACCAAGTGGAAAACTATATTCACTACTTTTGAGCGCGTGTAACGTAACATACAAAAGATTTTCCCCGTGATAACAATTTATAGTCCAAGCATTTCAATATTGCATGCACGTTCCTAGCTTTAATTGAAGAGGAACAAACGTAGGGGGTATCTGTGTCTGAACTATCGCAAGAGCTAAGGGGTCTCGCACGAAGCGTCGACGTTAATCCTTTATATAATCACCTTCGGCTACAGCCATTTTTAAAAAGATTTCTAGACCAACACGCGATCAGTACACGCAACAGGAAATAAGTCTGGATATACAATACCCCCACAAAATTAGTTCGCTATATTTGCGTGACGTGCGTTCGCGAGTCATTTGCTTAACGTGCGTTAAAATCTACAGGTTGAACTGAAAAGATCACGAAAAGGAGTCTATATTGGTGTTTGAGTACTTTTGGTGAAAAAGGTGATAGAATTTCAAAACGGAGGTAATACTACAATTGTTCAGTATCGAAATTTGTTCAGTTTTGTACTATGTCGGCGTTCCCAGTTCAAATTTATCCGCATACATCCTATGGAGTACAATAAGAGATGATGCATACTAGACCTCTAGGGAGAACAGTTTAGCAGTATAAATAAAGTTAGTTTAGTTTAGGTTTCCTCCTGTAGTAACACTGAATCAATAAGAGATGATCCTTACTCGACCTATATATAGCAAGAACAGTTTAGAACTCATAGAGCTATCCAGTATAAATAAAGTTAGTTTGGTTTAGGTTTCCTCCTGTAGTAAGATTGGATCAGTAAGAGACGATTCTTACTGGATCTCTAGGAAGAACAGTTTAGAACTGATAGAGCTATCCAGTATAAATAAAGTTAGTTTGGTTTAGGTTTCCTCCTGTAGTAAGATTGGATCAGTAAGAGATGATAAATAAACACTGCACAATTAATCTTTTAAAGATGTCGCCAAGAACTTACCGCCAAATATTGTGGCTCCTATCTCTGGCCGTCCTAATACTTCATATATCATCAACGGAGGAGACGGGGAAACCAGGAAAACTAGACACGTATTGTGGCAATGATTTCGTCTCGGCGTGGAGAGAATGTTGTGGTGGGCGGCATCCAACTTGCATCGCGGCAGCACGGGCCAGCGTACAACTAAACCAAGGAAGAAAGAAACGATTTGCTATGGAAGGTACAACACAGGTTGCCATTTCTTTTCCAGGTAGTTCAGAAAAAACCCACGGCAGCTTGTTGAGAAAAAGATCTTCTCTCAAATGTGGTGGCCCAGTGTAGGTATAGTATTCTACAATAAGCTGTCAGGTAGTTCAGACACAAACCACGACAGCTTATTGTAGAATACTACCTACACTGGACCACCACGTTTGAGATATCTTTTTCAGGTAGTCCACACGCAAACCACGACAGCTTATTGTAGAATACTATCTACACTGGACCACCACGTTTGAGATATCTTTTTCACGTAGTTCAGACACAAACCACGACAGCTTATTGTAGAATACTACCTACACTGGACCACCACGTTTGAGATATCTTTTTCAGGTAGTTCAGACACAAACCACGACAGCTTATTGTAGAATACTACCTACACTGGACCACCACGTTTGAGATATCTTTTTCATGTAGTTCAGACACAAACCACGACAGCTTATTGTAGAATACTACCTACACTGGACCACCACGTTTGAGATATCTTTTTCAGGTAGTTCACACACAAACCACGACAGCTTATTGTAGAATACTACCTACACTGGACCACCACGTTTGAGATATCTTTTTCAGGTAGTTCAGACATAAACCACGACAGCTTATTGTAGAATACTACCTACACTGGACCACCACGTTTGAGATATCTTTTTCAGGTAGTTCAGACACAAACCACGACAGCTTATTGTAGAATAGTACCTACACTGGACCACCACGTTTGAGATATCTTCTTCAGGTAGTTCACACACAAACCACGACAGCTTATTGTAGAATACTACCTACACTGGACCACCACGTTTGAGATATCTTTTTCAATTAGTTCAGACATAAGTGCTTACTATATATTGACTCCTAACATGCTGGTCATATTTCAGGCAGCCCATTTCAGCCGTCATGGGAAGCAAAACATTTTCTCAGCCGACATCGTCGTTCTACGAATACAGCCGCTACTGAAGAATGTTGCAAGGAACAATGTAGTTTACAAGAAATTGCAGAATATCCTTGTTTTTGACGATTCCTAGAATTCTATTTATAATCTGACATCATACTTTCAATCCACTCGCAGAAGAAACGATATTTGAGCCGGATTCGACAGAATTAGATATTTTCAAGTACTCGGGTTATTAAACTAAAACATGCATGGTCATTTGAAATGCGTTGCGTAAAAATCTCACAACTTGTCAACAACATGTGTTCGTAACATGCTTGTAGCAAGATTGCCAACAAGTTATAACAATGCTGTCATTTAATCAAGTTGCTATACAAGGTTGTCACTCACAACTTGTCAACAAGATGTGTTCGCAACAGGCTTGTAGCAAGCTTGTCAACAAGTTGTAACAATGCTGTTATTCTATCAAGTTGCAACAAGGTTGTCACTCACAACTTGTCAACAAGATGTGTTTGCAACAGGCTTGTACCAAGCTTGCCAACACGTGCTAACAATGCTGTTGTTTCATCAAGTTGCTACAAGGTTGTCACTCACAACTTGTCAACAACATGTGTTCGTAACATGCTTGTAGCAAGCTTGTCAACAAGTTATAACAATGCTGTCATTTTATCAAGTTGCTATACAAGGTTGTCACTCACAACTTGTCAACAACATGTGTTCGTAACATGCTTGTAGCAAGCTTGTCAACAAGTTGTAACAATGCTGCTATTTCATCAAGTTGCTACAAGATTGTCACTCACAACTTGTTGACAAGTTGTTGAATTGCAGGACGATAACGAGTTGTTGGAACAACTTGTAACAAGTCTGTTGGGCTCAACAACCTTGTAGCAAGTTGTCAACAAGCTGGGAACAAGCAGTGCGAACACATCCTGTTGACAAGTTGTTGGAACAGCACTTTGCAGGCAATATATTTGGAATGACTCATACTCAAGAATATACTGCATGTAAGATATTTTATTCAAATATATTATAGAATATTTATTGTATAAAACAATGTACGCTGCATGTACTATTAATAAATTGCATAAAATAGATCTGGATTATGGATTTTTTCTTTCAGAAAATATTAGCTGAAATGAGTGGATCTTTTACTGGACCTCTAGGGAGAACAGTTATAGAACTCATGCATAGAGTTATCCAGTATAAATAAAGTTAGTTTAGTTTAGGTTTCCTCCTGTAGTAACACTGGATCAATAAGAGATGATCCTTACTGGACCTCTAGGAAGAACAGTTTAGAACTGACAGAGCAATCCAGTATGAATAAAGTTAGTTTAGTTTAGGTTTCCTCTTGTAGTAACACTGAATCAATAAGAGATTATCCTTACTGGACCTCTAGGAAGAACAGTTTAGAACTGACAGAGCAATCCAGTATGAATAAAGTTAGTTTAGTTTAGGTTTCCTCCTGTAGTAACACTGGATCAATAAGAGATGATCCTTACTGGACCTCTAGGAAGAACAGTTTAGAACTGACAGAGCAATCCAGTATGAATAAAGTTAGTTTAGTTTAGGTTTCCTCTTGTAGTAACACTGGATCAATAAGAGATGATCCTTACTGGACCTCTAGGAAGAACAGTTGAGAACTGACAGAGAGCAATCCAGTATGAATAAAGTTAGTTTAGTTTAGGTTTCCTCTTGTAGTAACACTGAATCAATAAGAGATCATCCTTACTGGACCTCTACGAAGAACAGTTTAGAATTGTTTTGTTTGTGGAAACACCACGTAAATGTATTACTGCAAAGCTTTCGATCCGTAAGCCCGGATCTTCATCAGTGCTAATAATATGTGCATATTATTAGCACTGATGAAGATCCGGGCTTACGGATCGAAAGCTTTGCAGTAATAAATTTACGTGGTGTTTCCACAAACAAAACTATTATATGTTTTATCGCCATGCAAACGTACAAAGAACTTAGTTTAGAATTGATAGAGCTATCCAGTAAAAATATTAGTGTTACACTACAGGAGGAAAGCTAAACTAAACTAACTTTATTTATACTGGATAGCTCTATCAGTTCTAAACTGTTCTTCTTAGAGGTCCAGTAAGGATCATCTCTTATTGATCCAGTGTTACAATACAGGAGGAAACCTAAACTAAACTAACTTTATTTATACTAAAGGCGATCAGTTATAAACTGTTCTCCCTGGAGGTCCAGCAAGGATCATCGCTTATGTGAGGTTTCCTCCTGTAGTGACACTGGATCAATAAGAGGTTTCCTCCTGTGGTGACACTGGATCAATAATGATCCTTACTGCATGGACCTCCAGGGAGAACAGTTTAGAACTGATAGAGTTATCCAGTATGAATAAAGTTAGTTTATAATAGTTTTAAAAACAAGATAACAAACTTGCTTTATTAACTAGTGCGAATGTTCTAGGCTTGTTTTAATTGCACAGGACTTGTCCCAGTTGATGTAATAGACATTTTAATTATGTAAATGAAAATATAAAGCACGTTTTGACGAAACAAAATCTCGATGTAAACAAGCCATAATTTAGGCTAGGGAAAGTACGTTAAAGCCGTAATAACATTGTGCTTTTATCCTTGTCATGGTACATATAATGTAAGGCATACTCTATATATGAAACAATAACAACGTATAGTTTTGCAATAATGACCAGACACTCCCAGTAAATAATTAATTCTCACCTAAAGACACTGCGTAGTGACAAACAATGAAGCCATTACTTTAGCTTCTCGATGCAATACATCAACGTCAGCATGTGTCAACGTTCTATAAAGAATAGCGGAAATAATGATAAGGCCTTTTGAATTTTGAATAACGGTATACTAAAATGCACGGACTCATAAACTGGAGAAAGATTGGAACAGGAGTTGGCGAATTTATAAATGATGCTATAGGGCTGCGTTCAAATTTCTTGTGGGCTCCTGCCAACACGTTTTTCTTCGATTTTCCTATTAAACTCTTATATTGTTAAAAACGTGAAATTTCAGGTTCATTTATAGAAAAACTAACTTGCATGGTTAGAAATCTTACAAAAAACTACATCAAGACATTTAGACGGTTACCTTGACTTTTCAAGCTCTTCTTCAGTTATGAGCTTTTGAAAACGTGCGTACGAGCTAGCGCCCAGGATTTTCAAAAGCTCATAACTCGAGAAGAACTTGAAAAACCCAGGAAACCGTTTAAATTATATGTAGTTTTTTGTAAGCTTTCTAATGCTGCAAGTTTTTCTATAAATGAACCGGAAATTTCACGTTTTTAAAAGAGAATCGACGAAAAACGTGTTGGCAAGAGCCCACAAGAAATTTGAACGCGGGTTAGAGCTCGACAACTGTCTCTCTGTAGCTCAGTTGGTTGGAGCTCGACAACTGTCTCTCTGTAGCTCAGTTGGTTAGAGCTCGACAACTGTCTCTCTGTAGCTCAGTTGGTTAGAGCTCGACAAATCTCTCTGTAGCTCAGTTGGTTAGAGCTCGACAACTGTCTCTCTGTAGCTCAGTTGGTTAGAGCTCGACAACTGTCTCTCTGTAGCTCAGTTGGTTAGAACTCGACAACTGTCTCTCTGTAGCTCAGTTGGTTAGAGCTCGACAACTGTCTGTCTGTAGCTCAGTTGGTTAGAGATCGACAACTGTCTCTCTGTAGCTCAGTTGGTTAGAGCTCGACAACTGTCTCCCTGTAGCTCAGTTGGTTAGATCTCGACAACTGTCTCTCTGTAGCTCAGTTGGTTAGATCTCGACAACTGTCTCTCTGTAGCTCAGTTGGTTAGAGCTCGACAACTGTCTCTCTGTAGCTCAGTTGGTTAGATCTCGACAACTGTCTCTCTGTCAAGCTCAGTTGGTTAGATCTCGACAACTGTCTCTCTGTAGCTCAGTTAGTTAGAGCTCGACAACTGTCTCTCTGTAGCTCAGTTAGTTAGAGCTCGACAACTGTCTCTCTGTAGCTCAGTTGGTTAGAACTCAACAACTGGCCTCTGTAGCTCAGTTGGTTAGAGCTCGACAACTGTCTCTCTGTAGCTCAGTTGGTTAGAACTCAACAACTGGCCTCTGTAGCTCAGTTGGTCAGAGCGCTGCACCGGAATCGCAGGGCCGTAGGTTCCATTCCTGCCAGGGACCTGTGCATGGTTGCATTTTTCGCAATGGTTCGTGGCATAAAATTTCCACGCGATAATTTCCATCTGGCATTTCCGACTCGATTGAATAATAGCCGAAGTGTCTTGTAACAAAATCTCGATACTTCTACACGATTTTCAGGTTCGAAACAATGCATTCTGATTGGCATGACCACACATTGAATTGACCAATTTAGTTACTAAGTGCGGGTCGTTCTATTATATTCAAAGTGTCACAACGGATCACTGAATTCAATTAGTAAACAACCCACTGAGCGAATGATTTTAAAAATTCAACGCATCCATCTGCTAGCTTTTAAAGAACACAACTAAACGTACAACATAAAAAGCTAAGGCTGTTTTCAAAATATTTTTGTTAAACAGCGCATCGGTTTTGGCGATTTCAGCGTAATATAAACTTTACCGGTTTAGCAAATTTTTGGAACAGACTTTGTGGATATGAGCCGCTTGTATAAACAGTTTGTTTCGTATAAATTAAATTAACATATTTACATTGGAGTGTCATTTGCATAAGTCGCTGTCGAATTCAAGTCGGATAAACTAGAGGAGTCGTGTTATAAGCGTTGGCCAACTGTTGCAAACTGTTACAATTTGAAAAGGGAGCAGAAATACAAACACCAAGGTGGATTTATGGCGAATAAACGCTGAGATCTGGTTGGAGCGAAGCTATACGCAGAGCAACGCACAGAGTTCTTTGTTAAACAAAGGACGTATATGTAACACTAGAATTCAGGTAAGCTTATTATGAATTTCTTCAATGTTAAAAGCTTTTAACATTTTTTTATAATTATAAGCCTGCTGCGTTCGACTGTACTGACATTTTTATACAATACAGTAAATAAAAGTACCAGTGCTAATGGTTTTAAGATGCCATGGAAATTAAGCCCTATAAAATGGCAGACAAATATTTAAACGTGTTCTTGAAAACCTATTTTTTGTACTTTACTTATTCTAAGGGCAGTCAGATGCAGCCATATACCTAATTTAATACTAGTGCATGCTTAAGACATACCCAGGAATATTTGTTTTGAACACGTAAATGGAATCGACCAGTTATAAGGACCGAGCCATCAGTTAAAACTTATACTCTATAGTTCCTATAAATACGAACATCCGGCGGACTGTCAGGACTATATAAATATAATATTGTGCTTGTCTGTACGCGGCTTTTAATGGAATATCGTATGCAAAAAACATAGTACAATCTACCCCACCAAAATCCAACATCACTTTTCCATGCCTTTCTTTGTATTGATCAAAAACATGTTTTTTGATACAAGACATTTTTTATCCAAAAGCCCGCTTTTAGCATATGAAAGTTTAGCAAAGCTATATCTACAACGCTTGCAAAAGGTTTGATAATAAATTCAGGACAATCTTGAGTAATTTTTAGCTAAAAAAAGTACAAATTGCCATGGGCGGCCCGGTTCATTTGTCGGATTTTGTTGTGAAGACAACACTCATACATTAACGTGACAGTCATAATTACGAGTGATCATTAAAGCGGTCGTATATTTGAAAGCCTATTCAAAGGTTGGTTTTCACTATCAAAATTTCTGTGATCACAGTATAGGAATTTTGCATGGGTAAATTGCAAGTTTTAAAGGATTTGTATGAAATGTTTGGGGGGATTGACTCGCTGGTTTAAAGGGAATGCATGGCAATATAATTTTTTATTTTCTCATTTGAAAGAACCTTTGAAACTATTTAATAACTTCTTTTACCGATTCTTCATATCCTTGCTTAGTTCTTGAAATATTTTCGCTTGAAGTAATGAGAGTCCGCCATCTTGGATAAATTTTTGATTTCATTAACGGTAGTTTCACAACCATATAAAAGTATTCGTTGTTGACCAAATACTGATTGGTAGATGTTTTAAAGGTTTCAAGTGATCTTGATATGGCAGACAGAGTATAGTTTTTAGTGCAAAATGACTAGTGGTTGTCTAGAAAAAAATATTGCGTGACCCCTGTTGTGACGTAACATGCATATCTACAAAAATCCAAGATGGCCGACATTTCATTTCATTCGATTAAAATATTTGCAGAAGTAAGCAAGATATGAAAAGACGGTAAAAGAGTTTTATAAAATATATTACCATTCCGTCAAACATTTCTTACAAATCCTTCAAGACTTAGAATTTACCCATAAGCAGAATTCCTATTGAGTATTGTGGCACAGAAAAATTGATCAAAATCGTAATCAGCGGCAGACAGCGCAAACACGTAAAATTTACCGTTCACGTACGGCTCGGCGTGTTGCTAAAGCAACTAGCCATTATGGCTATGCATTTAGGTCCGTCCAGTAAGCGTTGCAGCGCAACAGACGGAATTTAACTTCACAAATGTCGATAATTATACGCGGACATGTCGACATGAAAATGAAACCGCCAATCTCTGCTATCTCTCAATACAAATACATAAAAAAATTTAATGATAATGATTTTCAGTCTGATAACTGCAGGTTTACCACCGTCTGCTGCGCGATAGCGCTCAGTGAAACCACACACCTATTCAGCAAAAAGCCAAGGATTTAGACAAATATTGATATACAGTGTTTAGAAATCAAAACAGACACTAGTACTATAGCTTAATAGGCTCCTGCCAGGATGAAATAGATCACGTAATTCCGTCACGTACAGAAAGAATAGTTGAAGCGCTTTCTAAATAATTCCCAGCCTTTATAGCTCTATCAGTTCTAATCTGTTCCCCTCTGGAGGTCCAGTAAGGATCATCTCGCATTGACCCAGTGTTACTACAGGAGGAAACCTAAACTAAACTAACTTTATTTATACTGGATAGCTCTATCAGTTCTAAACTGTTCTTCCTAGAGGTCCAGTAAGGATCATTTCTTATTGATCCAGTGTTACTAATATATAGGAGAAAACCTACACTAAACTAACTTTATTTATACTGGATAGCTCTATTTCTCTTATTGATCCAGTGTTATACTACAGGAGGAAACCCAAACTAAACTAACTTTATACTGGATAGCTCTATCTGTTCTACATTGTTCTCCTAGAAGTCCAATAAGGATCATCGCTTATCAGTGATCTTTATTATTACTATACTGCAACATTCTAATTCCAATCAACGGAAAGACAAATGTACTGACCATTGACCAACATCCCTAAAATAGTGTTTCCATTTAAAAAACAAAGCGCTATACCTTTGAACAATCAATCGGCGTGGTCATGATTCGCATCTTTACATGTACATCCCACACAACAGCTTTGGCGGTAAAATCCTCACATCTATCAGATCTGGATCAAATATAAGAGAATACGTTATTACATCCTGAACCCAAAAAAGAGTTAACTGCAGATATATATCATGCCTGTGACATTTGTAGCGGCAAGGATAATAAAATAAATGGATAGGACTCTAGCTGACGTAAGCAAAAACAACCTAGTTGCAATCTGTGACGTCACGCGTATTGCAAAGTTCTCGGCATTTTTGTTGTTTCGCTATACATTCCGCTTTAAAAGAGTAATATTGAAGCATCAACTGGTCTAATTGTTTTAAAAACATGCCTAAACCACGACAAAGTAAGTATTCAAGGTAAATGTTTTTCGTCTTTGTTTTCTATTTTTTTACATTTGTAGCTACGAAATTGGCGTCCCCAATTTTAACGAAACTTGGGATGCCTTTTTCACTGTTTAGTGCTTGAAATATTTGCTAAAATTGACTGGGAATACTTAGAGATTTCATCGTAGAATGGCGTAGTTATATTCATTTGCTCTTTGACTAAAATGTTTAGCTGTATTATTGCTAAACATGCCGTTTTTGAGAATTTGGTTTGCAACTAGGTTTCAACATCCAATCACGCCATCAGCCCATTGAAAACATTAGGTCACGTCAGCTAGTTTCCTATCCATTTATTTTATTATCCATGGTAGCGGAGAGTCCCTCACGCTACCTAGAACAGGGGAAATTACAGCATGCTTGCATGGCCAGCCAACAACAACTGCTATTTCGCTTTGTTACCCCTACGCATTTTCCCCACCCCGCGAGTAACATTTGATGATGCTTTTTAAGTAAGATGAGTGCAGAAATTGGGGCGATGAGGCACACAAAGCCATATGTTCCACCTGCAACTCTACAAACTATTTATAAAACATTAGTACAGCCTTATTTTGATTATTATTCCCTTTATGGGACAATTGCGGTAAAGTACTCCAAGATAAACTGCAAAAATTCCGCAAATATTATTACCGGAGCCCACTACGATGTTACATCCGCTGATATGTTGGACACCTTATACCTATATAGTCTTCGAAATAGCGAAACAGATTTAGCTCTTCCAAAACCTAAAACTAAATTTCTAAAGAGATCCTTTGGGTACAGTGGTTGCATCTTGTGGAATGATCTTCCGCAAGAACTTAGGCAAACAGAAACCATAAGTTCCTTTAAAAGAAGATAGAGCATATATAATTAATGTCGCCGGATATAGCATTAAGTTTTTAATATATTTCATTCTTTTGGCTTGTGTTTTGTTTTCCTCTTTCTCAATTTATATACTTGTAAATAATTCTAGATATTTTAGTAATTCTGTCGCCCCTGTGGAAATCAGCTGCATATATATATATATATATATATATATATATATATATATATATATATATATATATATATATATATATATATATATATATATATATATATATATATATATATATATATATATATATATATATATATATATATGTTCGAGGCTAGCGTGATTATTGAAGATATATGAGGCTAGCGTAGGCATATTGAAGATATGTGACGTGCGCCGGAAGTCTGGCTTGGCAGAAACCTCAATGCATGTAGACAATATCTATATAGTTATTGATGATATACCGTGGTTGATGTATCTTTAATTAAATTTTAAATGGATAAAAGGGCGTGTGAATTGAACAAGGCACATATTATTAGCACTGATGAAGATCCGGGCTTACGGATCGAAAGCTTTGCAGTAATAAATTTACGTGGTGTTTCCACAAACAATAGTATTATATATGTTTTATCGCCATGCAAACCTACAAAGAACTCAATATCTATATAAACACTCAACATGTTTGTCAAATATTGTCTCATCTGCTGACATTTACATAATTTCATCTAATCTATGTCGACTTTCGACCCAAGGCACAATAAAAACCAGCTGTTCGGTAAGCAGAAAGCCCGTTATCTATTCAAATGAATTCAAAAATTTGGAAATTGGTTTTGCAAACTTTTCCCAATTTCCCCCTGGGTCAATAAAGGATATTTTTTACTGGACCTCTAGGGAGAACAGTTTGGAATTGATAAAATTTTCCAGCATAAATAATTTAAAATTAGTTTAGTTTAAGTTTCCTCCTGTAGCAACACTGGATCAATAAGATCCTTACTGGACCTCTAGGGAGAACAGTTTACAACTGACAGTATAAAAAAACTTACTTTAGATAATTAAAGTTAGTCTAGTTTAGGGTTCCTCCTGCAGTAACAGCAGATCAATAAGATATGATCTTTACTGGACCTCTAGGGAGAACAGTTGGCTACTGACAGTATAAATAAACTTAGTTTAGACAATTAAAGTTAGTTTAGTTTAAGGTTCCTCCTTTAGTAACACTAGATCAACAAGGATCAAGGAATAACGAGAACAGTTTAGAATTGATACAGCTATCAATCTAATATTAAAAAGGTAGTTTTGTTTAAATCAACGATAAACGCACAACATAAAAACAATTTTGAATATATTTACACCCATTACATTAACTCTAACCAATATCAATTATTCAAGAAGGTCAACTACTTTCCCATTTTAAAACCACAAAGAACATGAAATGAAGCCATTATCGCAAATCATCTTCAACTAACGTCTTAAATGGTTTGGAATCTACATTTGTTTCTCATTGGGCAATACGCCTTAAAGCACTTATAAGTGTTGAGTGTTTGTTATTTTTTTAACCCTATGACAACGAAGGACTCCCATCGATCACTAAAGGACCCCTCGTTCAAGCCATTGGGAAGGCTACCTTTTTGAAGAAGAGACAAGATACTCCAGCGTCTGTAGTATTCTACAATAATCTGTTGTGGTTTGTGTCTAACTACCGGGGGAAAACCTCTCAAAGGTGGGCGTCCAGTGCAGGTAGTATTCTACAATAAGCTGTCGTGGTTTGTGTCTGAACTACCTGAAAAAGATATCTCAAACGTGGTGGTCCAGTGTAGGTAGTATTCTACAATAAGCTGTCGTGGTTTGTGTTTGAACTACCTGAAGAAGATATCTCAAACGTGGTGGTCCAGTGTAGGTAGTATTCTACAATAAGCTGTCGTGGTTTGTGTCTGAACTACCTGAAAAAGATATCTCAAACGTGGTGGTCCAGTGTAGGTAGTATTCTACAATAAGCTGTCGTGGTTTGTGTTTGAACTACCTGAAGAAGATATCTCAAACGTGGTGGTCCAGTGTAGGTAGTATTCTACAATAAGCTGCCGTGGTTTGTGCCTGAACTACATGAAAAAGATATCTCAAACGTGGTGGTCCAGTGTAGGTAGTATTCTACAATAAGCTGTCGTGGTTTGTGTCTGAACTACCTGAAAAAGATATCTCAAACGTGGTGGTCCAGTGTAGGTAGTATTCTACAATAAGCTGTCGTGGTTTGTGTCTGAACTACCTGAAAAAGATATCTCAAACGTGGTGGTCCAGTGCAGGTAGTATTCTACAATAAGCTGTCGTGGTTTGTGTCTGAACTACCTGAAAAAGATATCTCAAACGTGGTGGTCCAGTGGAGGTAGTATTCTACAATAAGCTGTCGTGGTTTGTGTCTGAACTACCTGAAAAAGATATCTCAAACGTGGTGGTCCAGTGTAGGTAGTATTCTACAATAAGCTGCCGTGGTTCGTGTCTGAACTACCTGAAAATATATCTCAAAAGCTATAGGTAATTTCAGTGACTGTTGTCGTGTTAGCCTGAGTGTCAGACGAATATCGTTATTCGTCTGACACTCAGGCTATTGTCGTGTCTAAGTGGCTATTTGTTTAATTAGAGAAAGACAAATGGAGACGAAAAGCTTAATGTTAATGAAGTAATACACAGATCTAGGAGGAAACTTATATTGATAAAACTAACTTTACACTGGATAGCTCTATCAGTTCTAAACTGTTCCCCCTAGAGGTCCAGTAAGAATCATCTTTTATTGATCCAGTCTTACTATACAGGGGGAAACCTAAACTAAATTAACTTTATTTGCACTGGATAGCTCTATCATTTCTAAACTGTTCTTCTTAGAGGCCTATAAAGGATAATCTCTTATTGATCTAGTGTTACTACAGGAGGAACCTAAACTAAACTAACTTTATTTACACTGGATAGCTCTATCAGTTCTGAAATGTTTTTCCTAGAGGTCCAGTAAGGATCATCTCTTATTGATCCAGTGTTACTACAGGAGGAAACCTAAACTAAACTAACTTTATTTATACTGGATAGCTCTATCAGTTCTAAACTGTTCTTCCTAGAGGTCCAGTAAAGATCATCTCTTATTGATCCAGTGTTACTACAGGAGAAAACCTAAACTGAACTAACTTTATTTATACTGGATAGTTCTATCAGTTCTAAACTGTTCTCCCTAGAGGTCCAGTAAGAGTCATCTCTTATTGATCCAGTGTTACTACAGGAGGAAACCTAAACTAAACTAACTTTATTTATACTGGATAGCTCTATCAGTTCTAAACTGTTCTTCCTAGAGGTCCAGTAAGGATCATCTCTTATTGATCCAGTGTTACTACAGGAGGAAACCAAAACTAAACTAACTTTATTTTATTTCGAAAACAGATTTGCCACGTCATGAGTAACCATAACAACACAACCAACGCAACGCAGACCAACGATACCGAAGGCACGAATGAAGTACTATTCATCACACAAATTATTTGCTACTGCGTGATCAGTATCGTGGGGTCCCTCGCGAACGTGGTCATTTGCGTGGGCCTCTCGCGTGGACGCCTCAAATCGAGCGAATATTTTATACTAAACCTCGCAATTGCAGACTTATTAGTTTGCGCCATTGGAATACCGCTGGACATCTACGAGAAGTACGCGGGCTCGTGGCCATACGGAACTTTCTTGTGTCACGTGATATACCCGTCCCAGACCCTTCTCATACTCATCTCAATCTTGACTTTAATGGGAATGAGCCTGGAGCGACACAGGGCCATATGTAGCCCCCTCAAGCAACGGTGAGTATCGCGGACTAAATTTCAGCTTAGTATAGGTAATCATGCGATGGCGAGTACAATTAGGGATTAATAGTACGAGTGATGTTTGGAAATTTTGCCAAAATTGGACGAGCCGCCGGGGCGAGTCCAATTTGGCAAATTTCCAAACATCACGAGTACCATTAATCCCTAATTGTACGAGCAACATCGCATGATTACTTGTTTATTATTAACATGACAAAATTGGATACGTACTTCTCAATGTCAGCATCATATTCTCTCGCCAAAGCCCAGTCCCGCCAGACTTTCAACCAAAATTTGGTGCTTTTGTTTGTATTTTCATTTAGTTCTTTTGTTAAAGCAAAATTTGGTGATTTTGTTCGTATTTTCATCTAGTTCCTCCACGGCAATTTCATTTCACGCTTGAGTTTAAAATACGTTTCCGCCATTTTGTTTGTTTTGGGAAAATCATTAATGGACCATTTGCATTATAGACTAAATTTTGATCTAGACAAAAATTTCATCACAGTTTGAAAGAGCATCACAAAATAAGTAATATTCCAAAGTTTCGTTGCGAAATGTTGTAAAATGCGGATAATATAGCCTTGCGAAGTTTGCCGTTTTTCAGTCATTTTGTATTACGCACGGGAAATTGACAGCCCAATCGGCTGTTGGGGCATCAATTTCCCGTTTGTAATACAAAATGACTGAAAAACGTCAAACTTCGCAAGGCTATATTATCCGCATTTTACAACATTTCGCAACGAAACTTTGGAATATTACTAATTTTGTGATGCTCTTTCAAGCTGTGATGAAATTTTTGTCTAG